AGAGGTTAAAGATGATTTAATCTGACGGATTTACGGCCAGGACGCTGAGACAAACTCCCTTTCGCTTGCCGGTGGGATCTTTAACATCCACCTGAAGAACAGCCAGACCGGGTGTTCTGGTTGGCGGAGTCCTGTGGCGTATTGGTTAGAACACTTTCCTTGCAAGCGAGAGGACCTGAGTTCGATTCCTGGGCAGGTAGAAACCTTAGGCAAGTTTCCTTGCTCCGTACGCCTCTGTTTACCTAACAGCGATTAGGAACCCGGTTGTTAGTTGACTGGCGGATCGCTTTTCCGGAGGTAATAATCCCTGAAACAAAATAAATAATTTGGTCACTCAATCCACGACTGTTGGTGGGACGCTGCTGTGCGCAACTGGCTGCCATGTTTCTCCCACAAAATATCCAGTCAGTTCACTTTGCAGTGTATTGTGCGAAGATGTCTCAACGATATGATAAGGGGCTATATCCAATGCAAGGATTATTATTATTACTGTTATTATTTAATGGATGATTCATAGGCTGACTGTTCAGTGACTATGTGCCCATGGTGCTGCCCTGAAGTGTGAGCCTGCAATAGGAGCTGATGCCAAACGCGGAGCTTGAAACCACAAGCTCCTTCGCCAGAAGTGAAAGCAACCACCAGTTAAGCCAAACTGACAGAAATGTTGCTGTATGAATAATATAGCAAATTAAGGAGTCGGACTGTAGAGGAAGGCTGGGCGATGGGGGAGAGCCACCTCTAAGGTCCGCCAGATCTTCCCAGCTGTGAAGTCGTGCGTGTTGACCCCGCAAGGCACAGGACCTTGGCTCGGGAGAGGAGATCTCAGAGGGGCGAGGGCTATTTGCCAACGTGAGGGAGAATAGGAAATTCTGTGCCCAGCATCAGCTGCTGGCCTGGGACATGATCCCCTGTGACATTAGAAGAAATCTGAGAACCCTGCAGGTTATAGAGGGATCAGCTGGTTGGGTGGGAGCTGGGGTTGGGGTGGGTGGGTGAGTGCCACAAACCCAGCTTCAGACTCGCTCCAAATCCTTCTGTTGCTCGACAAGGTGCTCTGCACCTTCGACCGGCGGAAACATCGGCTGTGGGCAGAAGAACAACAACAACAAAATTGCATTGATATAGCGCCTCTCAGGTCGGGAAGACGTTCCAAGAATTACGTGCCTTTGCTGCTCGCACGGCAGCTCACAGGGACATCTTCAAATCAGATGGACCCGGTCTCTCTCTTCGCCCAAACCTGCCCTTGTCGGATGTTGGACGACCAACGAGTGATTCTTTCTCGTTTGAAACTAAAAGCAGGGAGCCCTCGCGACTCAATTTTCTCCGAGACGTCGGAATGTTCTCTACGGTGGTCTTAGTCATCCAGTTCCTGAGCCAGGTAGGCCTGTGGTACCCAAGACCACTGTTAGAACACATCAGCCAGCCTGGTTTATCGACAGGACAGGGAAGGGCAGCCCATTCTTGCGCTCAGAAATATAATAATAATAATAATAATCCTTGCATTTGATATAGCGCTTTTCACGTCGGGAGGACGTCCCAAAGCGCTTCACAGAATACACTGTAAAGTGAATTGACTGTATATTTGTGGGCGAACGCGGCAGCCAATGGCGCACAGCAATGTCCCACAAACAGTCGTAGATTGAAAATGACCAATTTTATTATTGTTTTTGGTTTTGGAGGGATTATTATTAGGCTCTGTGTGGAGTAAGGAAACTTGGCCAAGGTTTCGCCCTCTGCCTGGAATTGAACTCAGGTCTCTCGCTTGCAAAGCGAGTGCTCTAACCACTGAGCCACAGGACTCCACCACTGAGCCACAGGACTCCACCACTGAGCCACAGGACTCCAAATAAGTGAGAGAGCAGCAAAGGCAGAAGGGAATGAAACCAAACACTTTTTCTCAAAACGGGAAATTCTTTTCAGCTATCCAATCGTCTCTCAAAGAAAAAAAAATAGCCCGAATTGCTATGCTTTGCCTTTCAAAGGAAAACAAAGGTAAAACAATCCCGAATTATTCTAGCGCTTTGTACATCAACATGTCGAAAAGGCACTTTACAGTCATAGTCGTGAGGCATAACAATGGTTCTTTCTAGGCAAACAGAGCAGCTAATTTCCGTACGTCAAAGGTTGCACAGACAGCCTTAAAGGGTATGCCCAGTTTAATCCGGTGGGTTTGTCGGTCAGCAAATGTAATGAAGGGGGTACCGTTTCGTCAACAATTCAGCATTTTCACACGCGAGTTCGTTGGAAGGCATTCGCCGAGTATGTTCATTGAGCAGAGGAGTGTCGTGGTCTCGGAATTGTTTTTGCTGGTGGAAGGATAGAGTGGACATCAGTGGAGCCGGCGTGCTGAGAATTGAAGTGAAACCTAAAAAAACTCACTGCTTTCAGACGGGATTCCGCGTCAGATGTCTCGTGTCTGTGAGCTGCTACGCATGCGGTCCCAGTGAACGGAGTTGGAATTAGAATCTGTGCCGGGACGGGGAAAGAAAAATTGCTGGGTTTGGCTTGGGTTGTGCTATCTTCACGACAGATGGGGCTGTGGTTTCTTCGCACGAGAGTAATTAGGCTCAGCAGTCTACGCTTTATTGGCAGCGTGGCTCACTTGGTTGCACAGTCGTATCTGAGGCTGAAGGTCGTGGGCTCATACCCTGTTTCAATACTTTGAACTCGCGGTCGAGGCTGTCCGTGCAGTTTTTCCAGATGATACATTGAACCAAGTATGGCTGTTTTCAGGTGGACGGTAAACATCTTATGGCACTTTTCAAAAAGAGAAGGGAGTTTCTTCCTGGCCAGCAATCTCCCACATAAAATTGATCATTCATTTCATGGCTGTTTGTGGGAATTTGCCGTGCGCAATGCAGCTGCGGAGTTTACCCATAACATAAGCAGTCACTACACTCCACAGTGCATGTCATGCAGTGGGAGGATTATCTTCATTTTGGCAATGGAATGGCACAGGGTAGACAACACGCAATGTAGGAGATGGAATATGAGCAATGGTATTGAGAAGGTTTTCGTTAACTGTCTGGCTCAACTGAGAGGCAGAGACAACAGACATCAAGGTGACAAGTCAACCCCTTTTTTGGAACATATGACTCTGGACTCCACAGGAGTCTACAAAGGGAGGACGAAGAACATTTAAGGGTGGGGTCAGATGTGCTTGTGGTAAATCAGCGTCGTCTGATTATTGTGTTGTGAGTAACCATTCACGTGGGATTATTCCAATGGCCCCATTGTAGAAAGTGACCCATTTTCAGAAGGGGACACCAAATGGTAACTGCCCCAAAGATTTTGAGTTTGTTTTTTTTTAAAAAATGTCTGCAATAACCTTTCGCGCCAATATCACAGCAAATTTGCATTGGAAATGAGTGTGAATTCAAAGACTAGATGGCACTCACGCCCAGAAAATACACAGTCAATTCACTTTACAGTATGTTCTGTGAAGCGGTTTGAGACGTCTCGAAGACGTGATAAGGCCGTATATGAATTGCAAGGATTGTTATTACTCTGTACCATTCTGTACTTTTCATTAATCCGACTTTCCGGGGGAGTGAAATGACACTGGTTTTTGATAACATTCGTGTGTAACTGGAAATTCCCTGTCGAAGCGGATAACTTCAAGGAGCAACAGAAGTGTGCGCAGCTAATGTTATTCATTTGATATCTGCAGAAAGCATTTTTGGTAAATATTGCAATTTAATTTAATTCCGTGCTTGCACAGGAACGGTGACAAATCAAACAGAGTGCAATGAATAAATATGCATGATTCTGCTTTTCAGGAAGATTGGGATAAAGCTTCATTTGTTCCAAGCTGTGTTCAACAATATAGACTTCAGATGAAGTATTTATAACATTTTTGAAGCATCATTGTGATACTGGCAGCTGCAGTCACCCAACTGCAGGATCTGCCTCTACAGATGCGTGATATTTATTCAGCAGACAGGAATTGCTTGCCTGTGTGAGTGAATATTGAGCAGAGACACGACCACGATCAGAAACAAATGGCGATATTTTGAAGGTATTTGCCCGCAGATAGATTGCCAGAAATCCTCGAGACCAAATTGGAAACCTTCGAATATTCTCGCGGGACCAATGCACGAAAAGAATAGCAAATTTCACGAGCATCGAATCCTGTAATTGAGGATAGGGGTTCATTTAATGGCAAGCGTTCAAACTTGCTCACCTGCGGGGGGGGGGGTTTCTTTTAGATATCTTTTAGATATGAAATGAATATGTGGCCTAGTACTCTGAGACTCTATCGCGATATAAATACTCGCCGTTGCATGTATCAGACTCTGGTATGGTTAAGATGCAGCCCAAGTTGGACGTGTATCCAGAACTGCTTGGACGATTTGACGTTACAGTGTCAGCTCCTCCTGTCTGCTTCGTACGGATGAGATTCACTGACAACCGTGACAGAAACAGGAAAGGTTTGATTTTTGCAGAACATGACAATTTATTCCTCCGGAAAGGTTACTCTTTTGGACTGCCGGAGACTCGCACTGAATATTCACCCACACAGTAAAAGACTTTGAACTGTTACCACTCTCCCCGCCCCAAAAGAAAATAAGAACACAAAACGTGTGCGATTTTAAATGTGAAACTGATTTGCTACTCTTGCATTGAATGGAAATTCGCCGATACGTCTTATCTGTCCGTCTGCACGTTGGTAGACGGGAGATAGCGAGGCAAATTGTGTTGATTTTTTAAAATTTGATACAGCACCGTATCATGTCGTGAAAAAGCCTCAAAGCGCGTCGCAAGATTCACTGTAAAGTGCAATGACTGTGTATTTACAAGTGGATGCGGAAGGCAAATTAAGTACACTAATGTTCCACAAATAGCAGTGAAATAAATGACTACTTTGATCCAGGGACATTTGGTCAGGACAGCAGGAGAAACTCCCTTCTCATTTTGAATAGTGCCACGGGATCTTTAACGTCCACCTGAACAGGTAGACGGAAACCTCAGTTTAACTTCTCCTTCGATGGACATCACCTTGTCCTGTAGCTCAGTGGTTAGAGCACTCGCCTCTTAAGCGAGAGACCTGGGTTCGATTCCCCGGGCAGGGCAAAACCTTGGGCAAGTTCCCTTTATTCCACGCGCCTGATAAACTTCAAGCAAAAAAAAAAGCAGAATAATAAATTGATCACTTCAATCCGAGACTGTTTGTGGGGACGCTGCTGTGCGAAATTGGCTGCTGCATTCTACCCACAAGCAGTCAGTCAATTCACTTTACAGTATATTCTGTGAAGCGCTTTGAGACGTCTCAAAGACGCGGAAAGCGCCGTATCAATTGCAAGGATCATTCTATGTTTTTACCTTCAACCGAGCAGTGCATCTCCAGCATTGCATTCGAAAGTACCAGCCTCAATTGTGTGGCGTGGAATCCTGGTATGGAGGTTTACATTTGTACAGCATTTTTCACACTGAGGGGCCATTCGAAACGAGCCGAATGCGAGCTCGAGCAAGGGAGAGGAACAGTTGAAAAACTGGGCTTTAAAGGTGGGCAGAGAGGAGGAGAGTCAAAGGGATGGAATCCCCAGAGAGAGCGAGAGGGCAGAATGGCTGAAAGTCTGTCCAACCGTGAATGGAGGGTGGATGGGGTTAGGGACGTGAATCAGGCCAGGGATGGCTGTGCGGGGGGTGCGAGGCGGTGGGGCTGCAGGAAGTCACAGTGGTGAGGTGGGGCGAGACTTCAGAGGGGTTTGAGTGTTTAAATTGTGCAAATGCGTATCCATGAAGGCTTCACCATATTTCACACGCTATGGGATTCTGATTGCCATAGCCATGAAAATCATTTGAATTAGAAAAGCAATTGATTTGAAAGCTGAACGAATTTTAGAACCATAAAATAACCTTTACTGAAGTGTACAGGACTGTGCGGAAGCATATGTATCCCTGCCTCGGGGCGGTAAAATGTGCCTTGATAGTTGCACTAATGTTTTGTCTGGTCCCAGTATAACCCAATATCTAATGGGACTTAATGTAATGAGGTGGCAATGAGCCTGGAGCATAAGCAGAAAATAATCTGTATGTGTTGACTGTTAAGGAACCCAACCTAATATTTGCCTGCCGAGTAGGTCTTTTGAACTGTTTTATTTTAGGTTTTAGAAAAAAAAAAGCATAAATTTAAAAAACAAAACAATTTCCATTAAAAAAAATGATTTGAGGACCTGCCAACTTTAGCTAAGTCACCGCGCCATTGAATGATACCCTAAATGCCAGCGGTGAAGTCACTTTGTCACATTATTTTCCCATTTCCACCCGCTTTGAGATGTCCTGACAGAGCGACGAGGTGCTTACATCAAACGCAAGGATTATTATTATTACTATGTAACAATCAAAATGTTTATTTCCTCCCAAAAAAATTACGGATGCATTTCATTACAGCAGAGAGACCTTAAATGTCAGATTCAATCTGTGAACATGACAAATGCAAAGTGCTTCTGAAAACCCTGACCTTTATTTCCATTGCTTTCCCCCCACCCCCCCACTCAAGTCAAAAGGACATGATATTTTTGTTTGTGAGATTAATTGATAAAGACTCCGAGATGCGAACAACCTGTCGCCGGACGAGTGCAAATTCACGATGGGTTAAGAGTTCGCTTCCCGGGGACGTCTGAAATGATGCATTGAAATTAGTGGCAACGCGCTGAAGGCTCCTGGCAACATCACAGCAAATCCGTAAATATTTGCCGGATATTAAATCTTACGGAGGGACTCTGGTCTCAAGCTGCCAATTACGTCGGCTGCTTCTTACCTCTTGGCTGCTGCGTTTGAAGTTATTCACACGAAGGTGCAGCTAAATGTACAGAAGGAGTTGGCAACCCCATCGAATACGATTTTTCAAGAACCTGGCTGGAAGGATTCTTTTTAGATTAACACAAGTAATTACTGGCGCAGAAAAGTGCGCTAACTGATTCCAGGCAGCGTGTTGTTGCGGGCGTAACTTAGTGTGTCCGGTCTGGCCCAACGGTATGGTGCACCTTATCATCCCTCACAACAGCTGTGTCGGCCAACTCCCTCCGCGGGTACGATTGCCAATTGGAACGGGTGATTAGCCGGCCCACAAATGTAAACCCAGAACAATGCATTAGGATGAACCGAGGTGGGTAGAAAGAGGCCACGTAGTCAGCCAGAAGCGGTGGGGTTGAACTCGCAGTCTGTGCTGATCCTCCTGTGCGGTCCTGGGGAGAGCACTGCCTTGTGTCCTTAAACCAAAGTCCTTATCCGCCTGTTCAGCTGGACAGTAAACGTCCCATGGCGCTATTTGAAAAGTGAAGGGAGTTTCTCCAGGTGCTCTGGCTAACCAGCATAGCAACACGTGTAGCTTCGCAGGCCTCTGTGGTCGTACGGGTCAACCAGCTAAAACAAACCTTTTTCTTTAAAACAAATTTTTTTTTTTTTTACTTTTACTCCTGTGAAGAACGGAACTTAGTAAATGCAACAGCAAAATTGTTTCCCGTGCTATGAATCTGTTACAGGCCAGAGACCAAGTGCCTTTTGAGTTGCAATGACTTCATTGGAGTCCTGTAGCTCAGTGGTTAGAGCACTCGGTTTGCAAGTGAGAGACCTGAGTTCAATTCCAGGCAGAGGGCGAAACCTTGGGCAAGTTTCCTTACTCCACACAGAGCCTAATAATAATCCCTCCAAAACCAAGAACAATAATAAATTGGTCATTTTCAATCTACGACTGTTTGTGGGACATTGCTGTGCGCAATTGGCTGCCGCGTTCGCCCACAAATATACAGTCAATTCACTTTACAGTGTGTTCTGTGAAGCGCTTTGGGACGTCCTCCCGACGTGAAAAGCACTATATCAAATGCAAGGATTATTATTATTATTATTCAGTATGGGTGGTTTGTTATATGAACGGAGAGAAGTAATCAACATAGCCAATAACGGTTCCCCCTTTGCAAGTGATGGATTCGTGTCCTGGGACCCTTCAAACAGCCAACTGAAATCTTACTTTTCAACGGAGATGAAGACGAACTGTCATGTGTTTGTGTGCGAGACTAATGTTTCAAAACATTTCTGGAGGTGACACTTCAGTGGAAATTGTGTTCCACCCGATTGGGTCCTGTGAAGTGAGGTCTTGTTGAATACGGATACATGACTTTCCACTCACGATTTTGCGTTGCCGCTCTCTTTTGTGCGATTGCTAAGTCAGTCAGACTTTATTCAGCCCAGGTCTGAGAGTTGATAGGCCACCTGCAGTTACCATAACCTTCAAGGAAACACAACCTACTTCCTTAAAGATCATTGATTTGCGGTGACTTTGCTCATCCGCCCGACTGGTATCAAAGAAAACGAGCTAGTATTTGTCTCTGAGCTTTTTTTTTAATAGGGAATAGTTAATTCTCCAAAGTAGGGTATTTTGGCAAGTTAACTTCACAGGTTAGGGGCCTGCGCAGGCCAGACAAAACAACAATTTGCACTTTTAAATGTCTCAAGGTTCTTTGCAGACCCAAAGCGGGAGCCTGAGCAGCGGGAGCCTGAGTGTTTGAAGAGAATAGGATGCAAACGACCACTTGTAACATCAGCAGCGAACGCTGAAGTTTGAAAGCTGCGTTTTTTGAATGTCCGCGAGTCAGAGACTTAGCGGCTGATTGGTGTATCCTGAAACCCTTTAGGGCACCTTCTTTTTTTTTTTGGGTGATGCCCAATCCTCAGCACGGGGGCTGCATCGGATAGCAACCATAGCCGTAGCATAGGGACAATCAAAGGAGAGAGACGTTTGAGTTGAGGACTTCCTTGGAAACTCTCTGGGTAATGGAGTGCCGCAGTTCCGATCGATTTCAGAACTTGTGGATCACGACACATTCTATTAATTTTGATGCATAGCTTGAGGTGTCTTGCCCGGCTCCGTCGGTAGCACTGCCGACTCTGAGTCGAAACGCTTTGGACAAATAGATTGCTGGAGCGAGCACTGCATTGTCGGATCGTGCTTTGTTAAATCTCTCCTCAGAAGAGGTTCAACCGAGGTACCTCATTGAGGGGGTGTGGGGGTGTGTGTGCTGCATTGCTATTATTGTCGTTAAACCGAGTCGCTACCTGCTAAAGATCCCATTGGCAATCCCTTTTTGAAAAGGGAATGGGTTTTCATCAATCCCCTGGACAGAATTGGTCATTCACTTCATGGCTGCGCTTGCGAAGGACGTTGGGGTGTTCAAAATCGGCCGTCGCGTTTGCTTACAAAAAAAAAAGCACATTCGCTACATTTCGCCGTGGGCCCCCGTGAAGCGCTTTGAGACACTTTGACGATATGAGGTGCGCTGTCAAATGTGAGGATCATTGTTATTTTCTGTCAGTTAATTTCCGTTGGTGTCGTGGTGGTGGAAATGTAAGATACAGCGGAACAGGTTCATGTCCCGTCATCCCAAGTTTGAGTCATGTGCTTCTTCTGTTAAACTCGGAATAGATTTGTACAAGATAAGAGTTTTCTCTCTCTCTCTCTCTCTCTCTCTCTCTTAATTCCTACAAGAACCAGACATTTACAGCCTTTTGTGAAAAAAAAGTTTTAGGTTGACAAGTCTGGGAAATGTGTTATTTAAGTTGTACAAATGCACATCAGGGCAACACTTAACGGACTAATTTGTAACCAGAGGTAACAAACTGTGACAAACAATGCGGATTACTGAATTACTAAAGCCCTAAGATGTCAGTGACAAGAGTCTCGTTGTGTACTATATATATATATATATATGTGTGTGTGTATTATATATATACTGATATATATATATAAATAATGATATATATAGTATATATATATATACTATATATATATCATTGTGTATATATGTTGTGGGACAAATGGTACACTGGAAGCTGCACATTTCTTGTTGTTTCTGAGGGTTCGGAGATGTAAGTCACACAGAGTAATTGTTGATTCCCGGGGAAAAAAAAATCATTCAGATCCGGAGAATTCCATGATGTAATGTAATAATCCTCGCATTTCATACAGCGCCTTATCATGTCCTTGAGACGTCTCAAAGCGCTTCACAGAACACACCGTAAAGTGTAGCGACTGTCTGTTTTGTGAGCGAAACACGATTCTGTGTAAGGGATATG